CTTCTTTAATCAGACTATAATGTGTAAAGACAATCTTATACAACACTTAATGTGTAAAGACAATCTTATACAACACTTAATGTGTAAAGACAATCTTATACAACACTTAATGTGTAAAGACAATCTTATACAACACTTAATGTGTAAAGACAATCTTATACAACACTTAATGTGTAAAGACAATCTTATACAACATTTAATGTGTAAAGACAATCTTATACAATATTTAATGTGTAAAGACAATCTTATACAACATTTAATGTGTAAAGACAATCTTATACAACATTTAATGTGTAAAGACAATCTTATACAACATTTAATGTGTAAAGACAATTTTTATACAACATTCACAGATTCTAATTACTGCATTGTATTTGCAACATTACAAAGATTACAGTCACTAAAAATCTGTTTTTTTGAGCATTGACAAATAAAAAACAAAATCCGTTCTTTTAATTTGAGAATTTTCAAAGTACAAAAATAAAAAAAGAACCTCACTGTCATAACATTCAATGTACTGTTAGGTGGCTGTAGTGAGAAGATTAAATTTAGGTTGTGATCAAATCTTGTAGAAACTCTGGAAATCCCAATTCAAAACTTCTAGTTTTGGTTTGGTTTTTGAATTACGCACAAAGCTACATGAGAGCTATCTGCACTAGCCATCCCTAGTTTAGCAGTGAAAGACTAGAGGGAAGGCAGCTAGTCATCACCATCCACTGACAACTCTTGGGCTACAACGAATAGTGGGATTGACCGTCCCCACGGCTGAAAGGGCGAGCATGTTTGGTGGGATAGGGATTCTAACCCGTGACCCGCAGATTGTGAGTCAAGCTCCATAACCACCTGGCCATGCCGGGCCACTTCTTCACTTCTGGCATTTTTAAGTTATTTTCTCATACGTTTCATGCCACAATTTTCTTCACTTGATATTATGCAGTTCACTCATTTTCAAAACATTTTCTTTATTTCAAACAAATTAAAATGCAATTCAATAGACTTTGTTAACATTTATATTTTTTAACCAAAAATGTAATTAACGGTATTCCTTTTTAACTGCAGGATTATGGGATTTTAAAAGTATATGTAGAAATTTATTTTGTATTAAAAAAAGGGAATAATTAATAATCTCATAAATATTTAAAAACAAAACCAATGTTGTTGTTTTTTTCTGTTCTATATAGATTAGTTGCAAAATAATTGAATAGACACATCATTTGTCATTTTAACAGAAAAATGTCAAGTAGTGCAAGTGATAACAGCTGGAAACTTGTGCTACTTTCAGCTATTACTGAGGATGGGAAGACGTTATTTTTGGTTCTTTCGATAATGCTAAAAATACCTTGTACATGAACCTAAATCATAACGAAACAAACAGATTAGTTGTGACTTACAAAGGCATGATGAGCCATGAGTTCATACGAGTTACGACAGCGGTGGTTTAGGCTCATGTCGATGAAATCATAAATAAAGTACCCTGAAATTTTATAAGAAAAAAAACAACATTACTTGTATCCATAGAAATATTACTTAAAGGGTAAAAATTCTGAGTGAAACTAAGTGCTAAATAACAACTTCATATTCATTCAATTTATAAACATTAAAAAGTTATTTCTTGCACGTGTACACTAGTTCTCATACCTGTTGTAGTGCAGCTATGAATAAATAAGTAACTGAAAATATATGTGTTACTACATCTGTTACTACAGACACAGTATCTAAGAACACATATGTCTTAAGTTTGGACTTAAATATTTTAGTTTTTTTTTTTAAATTAACTGGTTCCCAAAGGACGAAATGTGAAATTTGGTTGAAATTCATGGCATGGTTGAAAAATTTTTTTTAAATGATTTTTGAGAAATGTTGGTTATACACACACACACACACACACACACACACACACACACACACATACATACAAGCACACATATAGTAGAAAAACAACAAAAAACAAACAAGCTATATATACACATATATATAATGATAATCATAACAACTAACAACATACATCCATCAACTATAAACATACTTTGTTTCAGCTAATATTATGGATTTGAGGGGTTAATTAAGTTGGTTTTTTAAATAAAACAAAAATATTCATAATTGTTTCTTTTTCACATGTAATGGTGACGTAACTGTGAAGAGGTTTTTAATAGTTACAAACAGTTCACACCAGTTATGAAATTACTGTTTCGAGGATTCGTGAAATCCACAGGTTTCGTAATCGATAATTCTTGATAAAAACCAGTTGCACATTTAGTTTCAAATGTCAGTTTATTTAAAGAGATTTCACAACAAATCATCTGTACATGTCCTCTGTTTTTATCATAAGTGAGATCATTTGTCCCAACTGGAACAAACAGATAACACAATTTATTGCACAGTATGGAAAGATAATCTTACAAGCAATGTGTTAGTGTATAAAGAAAGAGATAACAAAACATAATAAATTAATACTTAAACAAAAGTGACAAAATACAAGATTATTTAGCCCAGACATTAACCACATTTTTTTACTGTTGAAATTTTCTATTTTTCTGACACTTCTTTATTGTCTCACATTTTTCCCGGTTAAATGAATAATGTGCGAAAGGCCATATTTTGACATTACACAATATCACGTGTATCTTAAAAATTCAAAACAACTTATTGTCTAAATTTGCATTGCATGTCAAACATCTGAATTAACAGATTTCATCATGTATATTTACAAGACATAAATACGACGTACTGTATGTCAAACAGTAATTTACATAAACACATCTGAATAATATTTTTTGTTAATTTTTCATAACTGTCTTTTATTTCTGAACATTTCATTTGTTATTCAAGTTTGTCCTTGAAGGATCTGGTTCATAAACATCACCATGCTTTTGTTCAAATTATTTCATTAAACACCAAAAATCCACAAACATTAATCGTTTTCCTTTTGTTTGTTTGTTGTTAAGCACTAAGCAAAATAATGGCCTATCTATGCTGTGCCTACTCCGGGTATTGAAACCAAATTTTTAGTGTTGCAAGCCTTAGACTTACTGCTGAAACACTTGGGGGGGGGGGGGGGTTCCTTACAGATACACACTTTTATGTACTTTAGTTCAAATCTTCATGCAAAAAAGTCCAAACACAAGATAAAATTAGACACAAAGTTAACAATTACCCACGAGTTAATCGAGGGGTTGAGAAATGGTACTTTCTCTCATATGATGATCCAGGAATAAATAATAACCTAGTACAATTTCTGTGATCAACTAAATGTTCTAGAAAGCTATTAGTGACTGAAAAAAGTGACTTTCAGTGTTACTCTTCAGGGTAGGAACAGTTGTTCCCACAATGTGTGGAGTTCTAGGGACACTAGTTGGAATCCCATTTTTTGATATTACCTACAACATTTGTTCACATATCACAATTTTTTTAAATTTGAAGTACACAAGAATAAAATATTTTTTAGCTCCAAATACAGAAAACGATACCCATTTCAATATCTTTTGGCTGACAAGCGATTCCCGAAGTTTTATTGATATCCCACGTTTTAAATTAAGGATGAAATACCACAATGATGATGTGGTGTTTTAGTTCAAGAAACACATTCTTATAAGAGCTGTTTCATACAGTAAAGAATGACCAGTAGGGAGAGGTATCCCATACATTTGTAATAATAAGTCTGTGTGTGTGTGTGTGTGCGACACTGATGGCTAGAGAGGCCTTCTTTCAACTGTCCCAGTATGAGACTAATTCTGTCAGATCACCAAGTTGAAATAAGTTATCGAAATCTTTCAACTGTTTCAACTGATACATTTCACATGAAAATATAAGATCTACCTGACATCAGGTTTTAAAATATATGCAGTTATCTAACAGTGATCTTTTCAGTATAGCTTTCTGTATTTAATTTTACAAGAACACTAACTAGAGATATATATATACACAGAAAAAGAAGACTTAAACAGTTTAGATACCTGTCGATAAAGCAACCAGAAGATGGGATTTATTGGTGTGGATTTCAACCATGTCTTCAGATCTTTTCAGTATAGCTTTCTGTATTTAATTTTACAAGAACACTAACTAGATAATATATATATATATATACAGAAAAGGAAGAAAAACAGTTTAGATACCTGTCGATAAAGCAACCAGAAGGTGGGATTTATTGGTGTGGATTTCAATCATGTCTTCAGCCATTTTTGGAACTTCATAGAAACTGCAAGAATTGACACAATGTAAAAATATAAGTTTAACATGGATAATAACATTAACAGTGTAAATAAATATTAACGTTATGATAAGAACAGGCTATATACTTAGATGGAAACTAAAAAAAAATCAACTTGGCAATCAATATGTCATATTAAATACAAGTTTCTTATGTTTCTATTTATAAAGATTAGAATGCATTCTCCCCCCCCATCAGTTTTACACGCAAAAATCCATTTACAAAACATAATATGTTTTATTAGATTAGTTAAATGTACATATAAAAACAAACCTTTAGGTCTAAACATTGGATGAGAGAGAATTTCATGTACATATTTTTAATTATTATTTACCAAAGTTACACTTTCAAATACTATTGAGTAACATGCACTGCATCTATAATAGTTCACTTCAAAAAATTTTGTATGGTTGGGTTCAAGTATCGATATAAATAAAACATAAATTCATAGTATCATTGCTTAACAGAAGTTTTAGTATGCATAAAAATTATACACTGACTATCCAAAGACATGAAAAATAAATGAATATGCAGGTCAAGTCATACACGACGTTTTAAATATGAAGCTTTTGTCTTTAGAAACATGAGTTGTCTTCTTAGTAATTAGGATTACATGTGTATTTATAAACATGTTAAATGACAATGTTGATAATAATGGGAGAGATATATACTTATATCAGTTATGTAAATCTTAGAACACTTCGTACTGGTAAACTTAATGGTACATGTCTATATACGAAATAATGTATTTCAAGTTTGTGTGTGTGTGTGTGTGTGTGTGTGTGTGTGTGTGTGTGTGTGTGTGTGTGTGTGTGTGTGTGTTGTTGTT